GACCCCTGTGGGCTGCTGGAGGCTGTGCCCCACATTCTGCTCCGATCACTGCTTCCCCCACGGGTGTTATTTACAATCCAAGGATTGTAATCCTCTTGTGAGGATCCTTCGTGCCAAAGGCTTCTCTCTGAGTTGACCCAACCCATGGTTTCCCCAGAGGAGAAAGACCAATACTGTGGCTTCAAAAGTCACCATCCCCCAGATTCCCCTGTCCTAGACCACAGAACTTCAAACCATGTGACGCTTTATGATGAAAGCAACTTTACAGATATGATTCCGCTAAGGACCTTGAAGGAGATAGACTGTTATCACAGATTGTCTGAGTTACTAGTAGGTTTCATTAAAAGCAGAGACTCCTTCCTAGTATTCACAGTGTGGGGAAATGTGGAAGAACACAGACAGCAACATGGTTGGCCTGAAGCTAAAGGAAGGGAACACGAGCCCAGGAGTGTAGCTGTCCCTTAGAAGCTGGAAGAGGCATGGAAGTGCTCTCTTCTCTGCAGCCTCCAGCAAGACATCCTCTCTATAGCTCTGAGGATGTCTTGGTTTTATTCCAATGAGACTAATAAGGAACTTATAACCTATAGAACGGTTAAGATATAAAATATGGGGGTAAAGGAGAGAGCTCAGGCAGAAAAGTACTTGCCAAACAAAAATGGGGATCTGAGGTCAGTTCCTGGACCTCAAGTCAAGTGTGAGGAAGCTGAGGCAGGCAGACTTCTGTGAATTAGAGGCCAGCCTGTCTACATGATGATAAGTTTCAGGACAGCCAGAGCTACACTGTGAGACCCTGTCTCAAAATTAAATAAGTAAATTAAGATTAAAGGCCATATGATGATGTATAATTACAATCTCAGCACCTTAGAGATGGAGACAAGAGGATCCCAGGGCAACAGCCATGACCCAGACCCCAGTAAGAGAGCCTGTCTCAAATACAGGATGGATGTGTCCTGAAGAACGACATCTGAGGTTGACCTCTAACCTCCACATACATGTGCACAGATGCATATGCAGATGCACACACACAAATACACAAGAACATACACACCCATGTGCACATTTTTTAAATGGATATTAAATTGTGTTGTTTTAAACCACTACGCTTGTGAAATTTGCTACCACCGCAATATACATAACTGATATGTGTAAAATCCACAGAAGGAGGAGGCTCAGTCTGGACCACCTCCAAGACTGGGAGCCATGATGCTTCCTGGGAGCTTTCATGCCGATGATCAAGAGACATGGGTCACGTGGACTCACGCTGCACAGAAGGGGTTGAGAAGAGCAAGACTCACAAATGGGCAGGACACCAACGTCACACACAAAGGCAGGCATGTGACTGGTGGGTGTGATTTCCCCTGGGCAACTCCACCTTCTGCAAGGTGTGGATATCTTAGTTTGTTTTCTATTGCTGGGATGAACACCATGACCAAAAGCAAGGAATGGGTCTATCTCAGGTTACAGTTTACAGCCCATCATTGAGGGAAGTCGGGAAGGGAAGTCAAGGCAAGAACCTGGAGGCAGGAACTGGAGCAGAAGCCAGGGCGGAACCCTGATTACTGGCTTTCCCCTCATGACTTGCTCAGCTGCTTTTTTATTCCACCCAGGACCACCTACCCAGGGGTGGCACCACCTACAGTGAGCTGGGCCCCCTACATCCATCATCAATCAAGACAATGCCCTACAGGCATGCCTATGGAACAATCGGATGCAGGAATTTTCTCAGTTGAGGTTCCTCTTCCTGGATAACTCTAGCTTGTGACAAGATAACAAAAATCCATCCCGGACAGTGAAGCACAAGGATTTATGAGTTTGGGGATAACCTGTAATTCTCCTGGTAATACTGTGCATCTAAGCTGGTAAAGCACACCATGCCCTGAGAGCCAGAGAAGGATCACTAAGGGTTATTCGCCAGTCCCCTCTACACCATCTTCTTGTTCAGCACAAGGACGAATTTTGATATATCATAAGAGAAACTTGAAGATCAATCAAGTTGCCATGATCTGTCCACTGAAACCCAGTCCCTTGAGTACATGGAGGGTCTTTATAATGGCTTTTCTTCATACAGAAAAATGTACTAGCCTGAAGTCATAGTCCAAATTCACCCAGACATATTACAAAATCTTCAGGAGATACCTGAGGCTATGGACAGTACCAAACCCTTTGTAAGCTTTAAATGTTCCTAGATTAACATGCCTATAAATTAGTTTAATCTCTATATTAAGCACTGTGTATGATAAATGACGAGGGTAAGGCAGAATAACCATGGCAATATAGCATAATAAAGTTACTTGAAACTTATGAATTGCCTATTTTTCCATTTAATGTTTTCAGATCACCATGGAGCATGGGTAAGTGAAACCCCAGAGAGCAAAGCCCTGGGGAGGGTAATCCGCAGTGGTTCACACCATTGTCTGCTTGTCAGGTGCCAAAGGCTTTCAGAAACTTCACACTAGCGCAGCTTAACCTTGCCATCACTGGATGCTGAGTCAGCTTTCCAGTTCCATGACAAACCATCTATGAAGGCCCTGGCTCACAGTTTCAGTGTTCAGTACAAGGACACTGACGCTGCTGCTTTGGGGACATGGTGGAAAACGCGTCCAAGAAGCCAAGAGGAAGAGACCATGGTCCCCACATCTCCTTCAAGGCATACTACTGTCAGTGACATAACTCTACTAGACCTCACCCCCTGCAGGTTCTACTGCTTCTGAAGAGTGCCATACGCTGAGTGCCAACCTTGGATGCCCAGCCCTTGAGAGACACCTAGGATCCAAACCATAGCATCCCTGCTACTGGAGACATCTGAAGTCAAAACAGTCTCCCCTGATGGGACCATCCACCTTACCTGACACTGTGGAGCTGCCTCAGCGGACATGGCTTGTTAGGCACGTGGCTGCTTTAGATAGGGCAGTAATCTGACTCCTCTCAAGAATATTCTTTCCATATTTGCTCGGTTTTTCAATTAGCAACAAGATTTATTTATAATTTTTAAGCGAACACAGAAAACTCACTTTCCCCGTCAAGAGTGGTATCCACATAAGAGAAACGATGGCTGACATTGTTTAGCTTTCTAGCCGAGCACACACCCCACAGGAAGGCATAAGATGGAAATAGGTGTGAAGAACTACGTAACTGGAAGTTTTCTCCAGGTCCTGCCAACCCCCTGCAGTCCCGTGGCCTGCTTACAAAATAATCACTCAGAAGCTTAAATTAATTATAACTGCACGGCCATTAGCTCAGACTTATTACTGACTAGCTCTTACATTTAAATTAACCCATAATTCTCATCTATGTTTAGCCATGTGGCTTGGTAACTTTTCTCAGTTCTGCCTTGATATCTTGCCTCCTCTGTATCTAGCTGGTGACTCCTGACTCAGCCTTCCTCTCCCCAGAATTCTCCTTGTCTGCTCATCCTGCCTATACTTCCTGCCTGGCTACTGGCCAATCAGCATTTTATTTATCAACCAATCAGAATAACACATATTCACAGCATATATATAGACATCCCACAGCAGAACTAATTAACTCCAACACTGCTGGTGGTGGGCACTGCAGAACTCAGTTTGAATTCAAAATTTCAGTATCTTTAATTTCATGTTCCTCTGGCAATGAGCTTCAAGATAGGACCAGGGCACAGGGCATGTACAATTTTCTATTTCCATTAAAACGTGCTAGACCGGTCTGCAGTATAGAGAAATTTGAATTGATGACAGAAATATTGAAACCCACTTCATAGCCCAAAGCCCAGGGCCATTGCCCACCTGGCCACCCCTTACTATGCCTCTGGCTCCAGGAGTTCCTTCAAGTCTTTGTTGATGAGAAGAAGAGGCAACGAAAGGACATTTGGGTGCACTCCAGGAAGTTTGGGTGTACCCCAGGATGCTCGGGTGTGCCAGGGGAAGGCAGAAATTGGTCCCAAAGAAGCAGCAGTTATAGAAGTGTTGAGTGGAGGTCCTCTGGGACAGAGCCAGAGTGGGAGCATGTCTGTCCTGCCCACCTGTGTGGCTCTGTTCTCGTAGACTGCCTCGTTCCTAAGAAAAGGAGGAAAAGGAAGGGGGTCACATGAGGGTGGGGAGAAAAAGGAGACACCACAGAGGGAGAGGAGAAAAAAGAAAGAAGAGAGGGAGGAGGGAGGGAAGGAGGGAGAGAGAGAAGGAGAGAGGGAGAGCAGAGAAAGGAAGAGAGTGGGGGAGGAGGGAGGGGGAAGGAGAGTGGGAGGCGGATGAAAAGCAGAACTAACTCTTGAAATGCGCATTAGCGGGGAGATGGGAAGCTTCATCTAACTGTGCCCTCGGCCTGGCCTGCATCTGTTTTGCTGTGCATATACTAGAGAGTGCTGAAATAGAGAGTCCTCGCTGGCACACTAGGAGGGAAAAGCTGATGTTAGATCACCAAGATAATTCATGAGAAGAAAAAAGAAAGACAAATGAGACCCCACAAACACCCATTTGAAGCCCGGTAACTTGGTCTACAAAGAAATCCACTATTTTTCATCACTAAAAGTAAAACCTTTCTTGCAGACCCTTTCAATGGGCACACTTGCAAAAACTTGGCTCATGTCCCCAAAGGTCTGAGTCAATGTCCCCCACTATTTACTGAAGAGGCAGTCCTGAGGAGCAGGGAAATGTTTACAAGGTGCTAGTGAGCGTCCTCTGACAGACAAACATTCCAGTCGAGGCAAGCAGGAGGCAGCCTGAGCTCCGGTCTGCTCTCATGACAGCTACACTAGCGTGGAGGTCAGGGGTCAGCCTCCTTCCACACTTGCAGCACGGGACACGGGAAGCCTCATCTCAGGGTCCTCCAAATGCCAATGGCAGCAACAAGAATGCAGCATCCGCATGAATGCAGTGGTTGCATCCCACATCCCTTTGGTTTAGGGAGATTTTCAGTGAAATTGCCAGGAAGGGACATGAGGAGGGCTGGGTTTCATTCATAGTCTCAATGCATTCATTCATCTAATGAACAATTTTCCAAGTCCTGACTCCATAGAAGATACTTACAGGTGTCCTATCTTCAGCAGTGAATGATGAATCTGTTGCTTACAGAAACATTTATTTTGGGTCCAGGTTTCACAGGGTGTAGTCCACGTCTGCTTGGCCCATGCACTTGGGTAGAACATTATGGCAGCAGGTGAAGGAAATTCTTCACTCTGTGGTGGACAGGAAATAGAGAACAAAGAATTAACCAGGGGCCAGATATAGACTTCAAAGGCATGCCCCAGGGAGCTGCTGGAGAGATGGCTTGGTGGTTTAGAGTAAGCACTGTTCCTGCAGAGGACCTGAGATCCCAGCACCCATGTGGATGACTCACAACTGCCTGAAACTCCAGTCCCAGGGGTATTTGATGCCCTCTTCTGGCCTCTGTGGGCACTACACTTACAAGCTTACTTTCACACATAAATCTACTCATAATTAAAAGTAAAATAAATCCATAAACAGGCCTTGAGTGTCTTATTTCCTCCAACTAGGTCCCAGTTACTAAATCCCAGCCCCTGTTAAAACAGCACCATTATCTGGGGACCAAGCAACCAGCATATGACCCTGTGGGGACCGGTCCTCACATCAGCAAGATCTGCCAAGTTCCCACACTTGGAGTTACTGTTCTAATGAGCAGAACAGAAAAACAACAAACCAAGCATGTGCCTAGCACAATGTCCGGTGGCAAAGAGTGCTCTGAAGGGAGATGAGGTGAGACAGGGGAAGAGGTCCCTGTGGGGGCCATCACTTCCCAAAGAGCACCATGTGGCGATCTCCCTCAAGAGGGACCATTTGCCTTACAAGCCAGAAAATAAATTCTGACTTTTTTTTATGAGTCATTGGAAACTTTAGAAGTTTTTAAGTTTCAGGGTGGTACGATCTGATTAAGTTTTGAAAGATCTCTGGCTCTTAAGAAGTTAGTGCATTTTCAGGAGGCGAGAGAGCTGTGGAGGGAAACCAAGGAAGCTATGTGTTCCGAGAGGTGGAGTCAGACAAGCTCATCCAGCTCCACAGGGCTGAGACGTTCAGGCCATTGTTTGAATACAGATTTTGAGGAAAAGGTAGGGGGATCAAGAGTGACTTCTACTTTTGGCTCAAGCCAAAGTGGCCGGTGGTGCCATTAACGAGAACATTCCTCCCTCCTGATGTATCCGATAAGAAAGGCCTTTTTGCTTATTGGATTTCCTGTCTCCATTGTCTAGAGAAGACAGGCCTGGATCTATTCCGACATAGAGAGAGATGATAGCCTCATTATTTTATTTGAGCCCTTGTACGCTATTGTACAGGGAGCACACAACTCATAAATAAAGCCAGTGTGGCCTCTTTATCTCTTCCCCATTTGATTGAAATCCTTAGCATTGCCTTCCACTCAGATGATGGATTTGGCTAGAAATCCATCACATTCATTCAAGACTAATACGGTGTTATCTAGGACAAGAAGCAGATGAGAAATCGCTCCTGCAGGATGGAGGCGCAGACTTGGCTCGAAGGAACCACTCGAGACATAAGGAAATCATTGGAGTACAAACATCAGGCCGGCCTGTCTTAGGAAATGCTGAAGTTGACCCAAAAGTCATATTTACAGGCATGGCGAGGAATGAGGAAATGTGGACACGCCACAGTTATGTCTCAAAGGTGACTTTCCTCAGCATTCTCCAAGAACATTAAACTTGAGATGGGCAATTAAGCAGCTTAGGAAATTCATCCAGGCAGTGAATAACTAATAATACATTCTGCCTTCCATGTATTGTGCAGTACAGAGCTGGAGCAGCACAGCCCTGGCCATTCCCTCCACCGAGAACCTGTGACTGGGGAAGCAGTGTGAGCAATGTGATGGGAAATACTTGAAAATATGTACAAAGTAGACATTTAGGATGCCACAGGTGTGTGTGATGAGGGGGCGAAGTGGTCCCTGGAATCTGGCTGAGACAGAAAGCAACCAGGTCCAGGAGAGAGAGTGGTGTACAAGGAACTCTGAGGAGGAATGGGGCATGGATGAGAGGAGGTGCCTGGGAGAGGATGATGGGATAAGAGGCAGCCAAGGCCAAAGGAGGCATCCAGGACCTGTAAGTCAGCCTCGTCCTTTGCCTATTATGGAGGCAATAGAAATAGAATAGTGGTGGGGAGCGGAGGAATCCAGCGCTGGGTTTTAAAACCTCACTGACATTAGGTTGAGGGAGATGACATTGGGTCAGAGTGTTCACGGACAAAGAGTGGGATGGCTTGATGCAGTGGGGCAGGGGCATGGCTGGACGCTCACAGAGCAGGATGGAGAGCGGGGATGGATGGGATATGGAACTATGCTCAGGACTGGGCAAAAGAGGGAGCTGTGCTGGGCAGGGAGACACAGCGGGGCAGAAGGAATTTCTGGCATGCCAGTAACAGCATTTTATTAAAATAGCTGCACCGGCAAAGGCAGCATGAGTCCATGTTCCAGTTCTCGTCCTACAGAACAGCAATGTAGTCTGGGTGCAGTGAGCTGGCTCAGCAGGTAAAGGCGCTGCCAAGCCTGAAGGCCTGAATTCAAGCCCTCCATACCACATGGTAGGAGAGAACCAAATCCCACAGGTTGTTCCCTGACCTCCACATGTGTACCGTGGCACACACACACAAGTACTCACACACTAAATCAATCAATATATACACACATACACATATATGTGTATAGATGTATAATACACACACAGATATATATATATATATATATATATGTGTGTGTGTGTATATGTATATATATGTATATATATGTGTGTATATATATGTAGCCTAGAAGGAAATGTAGAATAAGAATCAAAGAAAGTCCCTGGAAGTCTTACAGAGAGGGAGACAGGAGGGAAACATCACAACATTAAGGAATGAAATTGAGACTTCCCTCTGACCAGATACAGGCAAGTAGCAATGTCTCAGACTCGGCAGAAATCAGAGAATCCGGATATAACAACTGTCTGGTTGGGGTTTACAGGGAGCTGGCATTGTTCCGGTTAGGAACCCTGAGAAAGATCACACAGCCAGAGAAGAGGCCGGAGGGAAGCAAGCGGCTGGCATGCTGCTCCGTTTCTTTTGTAATACTAGGTCTCTCTCAAGAAATAAGTCAGAGGGCAGGCAAGATGGTTCAGCTTGGAAAGATGCTTGCCACCAAGGCTGGCATCCCAAGTCCCACCCCTGGGACCTCCAAGATGAAAGTAAGGAACCGAATCCAGCGCCCGTGGACTGTCCTGTGGACATCACCGGTGCACAGTGGCACATGCATGCAGACTCATTGCACAGACTCAGACACACACACACACCAAATGAAAATACAACTCTTAAGAAATAGCTAAAATATAAGTAAGTCAAAGTTCACAAGAATTATCTTAATCTCTTCCAAATTGGCCTGGCCAATTCCCATGTCTCTGACAGTGACACTCTGGGGTCCATCTCTCTGACAGTGACACTCGGGGGCCCATCTCTCTGACAGTGACACTCGGGGGCCCACCCCTCTGACAGTGACACTCGGGGGCCCACACCTCTGACAGTGACACTCGGGGGCTAAGCCCCTAACACAGGAGCCCTTGGGACACACACTTATCCTAAACTCTTTAGGAAAGCAAGCTGGCTGATGTGTGTCTGTGGATTACGGGCAGAAAATCAAGTCAGTCGTCCACGTTACCAGCATGGGTGATGGAGCACACAAACCACTCTCTCACTGTCTTCTCTCCTTGATCCCTAGTCCCACACCATCCCCTCAAGTCTCCAGTCCAGTCTACTCCTCACAACACACATGTTGGATCCCATGAAATATTCATGGCCTTGACACGTGTCCAATTAGTTATAGCAACTGTTTTGTTCTTATTAATAATAGTAAATTATTTATTTACATTGTCATGTAGATACCTATGTTGTGTGCATACATACACAAATATATTTGTGCACTCATATACACATACATGCATACATATACACACATATATCTATACACTCACACATATATACACATACTCCCACATACATACATAGACATACATACAAGCACACATATATACACATAGAAATACACACACACACACGCACATATATATATATAAAGACATATCCATACACAACACATATACATACACACATTTTCATGTATACACACTCATACACACACATAGGCATGCACACACAGCTTAGGGCATAAAGATTATAAAATCATGAGGAGATTGTGAAAACATGAGGTATCGCTGTTATGGTTGGGATATGAAGTGCCCCTCAAAGACTCTCATGTCAAAGGCTTGGGACCCAGCTGGTGACCCAACCATTGAGGGACAATTAGACCCTCAGCCATCTACCATGTCCATAGACTGACAGGTTTAGAATCTGGTGAAGAGACATAAGGGGCACTCTCAGAAAGGAGCCTATTGGAGGAACGCGGTCACTGTGAGAGAGTTGCTGAGGCCTTGCTCCTCGGCCCGCCCTGCTCTCTCTCCTGTCCACTATGAACTGGGCTGTTCCCCTCCACTCTGCTCTGGCCCCCTAGTGCTCAGCCTCAGGCTCAGGCCCACAGCACTGGAGCCAGCTGGCCACGTGTCCAACCTCCAAAACCGTGAGCCAAAATAAAGCCTGGTGCTTTCTTTCCGTGTTTGTTACGATGAGGAGAAATGACTAACGAGCGGGGGGAGGTGGCCCAGCCCCAGTGAGGCAGAGCAGCTCTGCACTGCACAGAGAAGAAGAAGAAAACCAAAGAAGAGAAAAGGATTGGTCACCAGAGTGTCCATCAATCACCCATGTCCCAACCCATGCTCCCAGCTGCCCTGTAATGTGCCAGTAAACACGGCACATGCAAGGGGCCATCACGGAAGCCTAAAGCTTCTTGTCCACTGATGACAGCTCTAGGGTGGAGACATGTCCGTGGTCATCCTCCGTGTCCTGTCACCGAGGCCACTGAGGCAGGAAGTGCATTTCCAAGTTCTCTGTCAGGACCTCAAGAGTAAGACGCAAAGGAACTCCAGCGCTTAGCGCTCTGTATTCCATGTGGCAGCCAAGGCGGGACGGCAGAGTCTCAACACAAAGGATTGCTTCTTATGGAAGGTTTTCTGTTTTACCACTTCCCACTTAAAAAATTCAACATGCAACACTCTGATTGATATATACAAGTATTATTCTTAAAAGTGTGTTCAATTAGATTTTTTTTAATTAAAAATCAAACCTGTCA